AGTGCTAGGATTAGTGTAGGGTTAGGAGTAAAATTAGGGTTAGTGCTAGGATTAGGGTTAGGGTTAGGGCTAGGGCTAGGATTAGGGTTTGAACTAGGGTTAGGATTAGGGATAGGGTTAAGGCTGGGGCTAGTGTTAGGGCTAGAATTAGGGTGTGGGTTACAGGTAAGGTTTAGTGTCAGGGTCACAGCTGGAGCCAGGGCTATAGTTAGGGTTAGGTTTATGCTTATGGTTAGCGTTAGAATTTGGGTTAAAGCTAGAGATGGCTTTAGGGTTAGAATTAGGGCTAGGGTTAGTGTTAGGGGTAGGGCTTGGGCTATGGCTAGGGTCAACATTAGGGGAAGGGCTAGAACTAGGGCTAGGGTTAGGGTTAGGGTTAGGGCTAGGCCTAGGATTAGGGTTAGCGTTAGGGTTAGAATTAGGGTTAGGGCTAGGGTTAAGGTTAGGTTTAGGGGTAGAGTTATCATTAGGACTAGGGCTAGGGCTTGGCTAGGCTTAGGGTTAGGGGTAGGGTTAGAGATAGGGGCAGGGCTAGGGTTAGGGTCAGGGCTAGAATTAGGTTTAGATTTTGGGTTAGGGTTAGGGTTTGGGCTAGGGCTAGGGTTAGGGTTAGAGTTAGGGTTAGGGTTAGGGCTATGGCTAGGGCTAAGTCTAGGGTTTTGTTTAGGGTTAGGGTAAGGTTTAGGGTTAGGATTAGGGTCTGGGTTAGGTCTAGGGCTGGGGCTATGGTGAGAGCTAGGGCTAAGGCTAAGGCTAGGGTTTGGCTTAGGATGGCGATTAGGGTTAGGGTGAGGCTTAGGGCTAGGGTTAGGGTAAGGGTTAATTTTAGCATTATGGTTAGGGCTAGAGGTAGGGTTATGGGTAGGGTAGGGCTAGGTCTAGGGTTAGGGTTAGGAATATTGTTAGAGTTAGGGTGAGGGATGATTTGAGGGCTAGGATTAGGTATAGGGTCATATCACGGTTAGGACTAGGGCTAGGGCTACGGCTAGGGTTAGAGTTACGGTAAAAATTAGGGTTAGGTTTAGATTTGGGGGTAGGTTTAGGGTTAGGGTGAGGCTTAGGGCTAGGGTTAGGTTTTGGGGTAGGGCTAGGGTTAGGGTGAAGGTTAGGGTTAGGGCTAGGGCTGGGGCTTGAGCTAGGGCTAAGGCTATGGCAAGGGTTTGGGTTAGGGTTATGGTAATGGTTAGGATTAGGGTTAGGGCTAGGGCTAGGAGTAGAGCTAGCGCTACGGTTAGGGGTAGGTTTTGGGTCAGAGTCAGGACTAGGGCCATGGTTAGGGTTAGAATTAGGGCTAGGGCTAGACCTAGGGCTGGGGTTATGTTTGGAATTAGGGTTAGGTTTAGGGTCAGGGTCAGGGCCATGGCAAGAGTTAGAGTTAGGGTTAAGGTATGGTTAGGGTAAGAGTTAGGACTAGAATAAGTGTTAGTGTTAGGTTTAGGTTTAGCATCAGGGTAGAGCTAGGGTTAGGGTTAGTGTTAGGGTTAGATCTATGGCTAGGGCTAGGGCTAGGGCTAGGGTTATGGTTAGAATTAGGTTTAAAGTTAGGCCTAGAGCCAAGGTTATCATTAGGGCTATGGTTAGGGTTACAGTTAGGGCTAAGGGTAGGGCTCAGATTAGGGTTAGGCTTAGGGTTAGAACTAGGGTTTGGGCTACAGCTAGGGGTGTGGTTAGAGTTAGGGATAATTTTGGGATAGTATTAGTTTTCGGGCTAGGGTTAGTGTAAGTTTTAGGGTCAACATCAGGGCTAGGGGTAAGGTAGAATTAGGGTTAGGGTTAGTTTAAAGGTTAGGGCGAAGGCTAGGGCTAGGGTTATGTGTAGGGTTAGTGTTAGGGTAAGTGATATGCTTAGGTTTATGGGTAGGGCTTGGGCTAAGTCTAAGGTTAGGGGGAGGTATAGGGGTGGGGGTAGGGCTAGGGTTAGGGTTAGGTTTTGGGTCAGTGTCAGGGCTAAGGTTAGGCCTAGTGGTAGTGTTAGGGCTAGGGCAAGAATTAGGGCTAGGGTTATGGTTAGAATTAGGGTAGGGTTAGGTTTAGGGAAAGGTTTAAAGTTAGGGTTGGGGTTACAGTTAGGGTTAGGGCTTCAGTTAGTGTTCGGGATAATGTTCAGGCCATGGCTAGAGCTTGGCTGGTGTTAGAATTAGAGTTAGAGCTAGTGGTATGGCTAGGGTTAGGGTTTGGGTAGGGTTAGGGCTAGGGTTTGCTATCGGTTTCAGGTCAGAGTTAGGGTTAGAGTTAGGGTTAGGGTTAGAACTAGGGTTACTGTTTGGTTTAGGATTAGGTTTAGATTTAGGCTTCCTGCTATGGGTAGGGTTAGGGTTAGGGTTAGGATAGGGTAAGGGTTAGGGCTAGGGCTAGGGTTAGCGTTATTGATAGTGTTTGGTTTCTGGTTAGGGTTAGCCTTAAAGACAAATTTGCTGTACTACATAAATTGGCCTATAGGTTTGGTAGTGTTAAGTGAATGTAAAACAAAAGGTACATGTTGGGACCTCCATGGGCATTCCATCCGATTACACAGTAGTGCTGAGCTTTCAGTCCTTTAAATCACAAGGGGGAGCAATATTTCATGCAATGTGGGTTCTCATCAAATGCCATCTACACTGGTCATCATCATATTCGTGTTCTCATTTGAGTAGAAGATGAAATGAGTGGTGTCTCAGGAAGTGCCATCTCTTTTCAGCACTCAGTTGAAGCATCTTCCTAAGATATCAACTTTGTGGTATGAGTGAGAAAGAATCAGCTACTGGATTCCTTTGTTGCTAGCCAATTGGTGAACGCTAGCATAGGACCATGTGAAGTTTGAATGACAAGAATTTTCTATTTTTTCTTTATTTTTCCAAGAGAAAAGCATATCCACATTAAGACATGCAAGTATAATCCACGATGTGCTTTGGACAAAACAGTATTGTGAAGGTTGACATGAATGTGAAAGGGTCGACTTTCTGTCACCCAGTTCATTTTCCTTGGGGAAAATGGAAAAGAATTGTTTGAACCCTGCGAAATCAGGCTGGAAAGACACTGTTTCAAAACAACTGGCTCTGAGCAAATAACTTTGGCTGTGTTTATAAGTCCAGGACAATAAACTCATTTCAGAAAAGCTGAAGGGAATGATGTGCTGAAGGGAAATGCTCATACAGAGTGCATTTTCACTTCTTCTCAAGTATTCCTGAAATGTCACATTCAGTAAGTTGGAGCATGAAAGAGCAGCTAACATCATGTTTTCTCTCTGAAAGGTTTCAAGGGATGCATAATACCATGTCACCTTTAAAGAAGAATAGCTGCCATGTACAGATTCCTCCAAAGCACTGTGTCTCGTAGAAAATAAGGAGAAAGCTTAGACATGCATGTATTGTGCAGTACCTGACTTGGACAAGTCAGTTTGTGAATGTCAAAATGAAAAGGAGATGAACGGTCCCCTTCATTTAAGGGAGTGAATATCTCTCTTTCGGAACCATTATGAATTGTTGGAAACTTTCTAAATCACTTGGGAAAAAGCAAGTTTCTTACAAAGCCTGTTCTAGGCAAACTCTGTCTGAATTGTTTCCAAAGGTGAGGCAAGGAACTCATTTCAGTAGTGCACAAACATGTGTAACATAGCCTGAGTCCCCATGTTCTTTGGTAGAAGCGCTTCCTGGCTGGACTCCACTTAAGCCTGAATACCTTATGGGGAGGGCTGGAGCTCCTTGTCTTGTTAGAGTGGACCAGGGGATAAATCTGGCATCACAAAGAATTGGTTTAAAAAAAAAACACCTGTGAAACCTGCTCTGCTAAGAATGTTTTCTTTCATGTGTTAAGGGTCCAAGCAGGAAACCCCAAAGTTTCTGCAAACTTTCTTCCTGATATACACTGACTCAGACTAAGCCCTCAGGTTTCTTTGAAATATTATCTACTGTTTGATCCTTGCCGCCCTGTATTCCTGTGTATTACAACCCAATAAAAGCCCCTGGAGGAAGGGGCTCAAGGCTTTTTAACTTGGAGAGAGTGGCCACCTCTAGGCGTTTTTCCTCTGAGAAACTGGCCACCCCTCCTCCCCAAGTCCATCATGTCCTAGTAGTGTTTATTTTCATCCTTGGAAGACGGCGGGGGCGGGGGCCTGCAGGAGAAGTCTACCCCACAAGTGGCGCCCTGGACAGGGTCCCTACAGATTAAAGACCTTCTTCATCTACCAGAGACTTTAAGCCACAATGCCACGGATGCACACCTAAGAGAGATGTAATTCAATACATCATCCCCAGAGGGATCAGGGGCTACGCTGGTTAGGGCCCGCAGGTGTATCAGAGATAAAAATAAAGGTTACTTTTACCACCCCTTTAGCGTTTTTTTCTCCCTTGCACTCCCCCTTCCCTTCCAGTTTGAGGTATTTTATGAGTGTTTCAGAGAAATACTGAAGAAAAGAGGCACTTCCTTCCTCCGACTCAAGATATAGGGTATCCCTACATGAGTGGGGATCCAGTGGAGGTATCTGGGGTCCAATCTCCAAGACATGAAGAGGCCTCATAGGATATTCCATCTCATGTTAATCTTGGGTCTCCGTGCGTCCTTATATGGAGCGCCTATATGGACTGGTCATCCAGTGCTCTGAGCCCTTTCAGCTGTCTAGGCAGCTGGGAAGTGAACCCGAATCCCATAAGTGGGTCTGAGGAGTTCCCGAAATTCGGTGCTTCTTTTCCTGATGGTATTTCCACCAACAGGACATCTATGGCACACTACACTGTGTTCCCTAGCAAGAAATAAGATCTGGAAGTGCGGGAAGAAAGAACGACTGGATTCACCGCTTTTTTGCGGTAAAAGGGACTTTAGAAAAAAAGATTTTCTTTGACTGGGAAAGAGCGCGCACCCAGGGTGGTTTCAGGAGGGATCCAGTCCATCTTCCCTCCTCCGTCCCCTGTGCTCTCCAAGGCACCCCTAGAAGGATTGCGCAGCAGAGGGGTTGCAGTTCTCGGCTCTCTCCTATTTCCCCTGACCTGCACTGAGAGGCGGGGCCAAGCACAGCTGGTGCAGAACCTGCGGGGGCGCGTCAGACACCTGGGAGGGCCAGCACCACCTGGGTGCGGGGAGGATCGTGGTGGGCGTTAGAGCGCTGCGACCCCTGTGCAAGACCCTGCCAGCGGTTGGGCCATTCTGAGGCAGCTGCCTTACAGCCTGGTTTGTGACTGGCAGAGCGAAGCCACGCCCAGGGGCGCGACCTTAATGGCGGCAGCCGAGCATAACTGGCGCACCGTTTGCTAGCAAGATATTTGGAGTGCTGAAACTGGCTTACTATGCACAGCGTCTTAAAGCCTATGCTACTAGCTTGGGCTCCTCTGGCCACTAAAACCAGCTGCTGCTTCAGTGGCGCCGCATGAACATGCACACGCTGGCGGGAAGCATGGTGGGGGCCGGCTCTCTCTCCGGAAATTGCAGCAGAGTGGGGTGGAGATTGGTTTCCCCTCCCTAATTTTCTCTCTGGTTGGCGCTCGGAGGAGAACTCTCTCGGCTCTCAGAGCCGGGTGTCCTCTGGGACACGCAGGTGCAGTTCTCACAGCCAGAGGCAGTGGAGGCGGTAGGGTGTGCGCCAGGCGTGGTGGTGATACAGGGTGCAGCAAGGGGGGCCCCCAAAAAGATTTGGAAAGGTGTCCAGAATTCAAAGTGTATAGAAATATTGGAGAGACATATTAAGATGTCCTCACCACCACCACCCCCCCCAGGGGGAAGGGATGAATGGAGCCAGGCCATTGAGAGCTATTTTGCATAGCAACAGTTTTAGAGCTAACCTCTGGAATGGTTATTTAACATATCTATAACCTTTACCTGGTTTCATAGATATGTTAAATAGCAGTGGCCAAGTTTGGAGCCAGGGGGAAGGTAGTAGCTGGGACTCAAGATGGGATCTATGAGCTGCTCTCCTGAGTGAGGAGGGCTTGGACTCAGGATGTAACTAAGGGCTGCGCCCCTGAGTGGAAGGGCCGCTGTGTGGGAGCTTGGAAAAGACTGGCTCCAGGACATGAAGGGTCCCTGCTTGGGCAGATGAGAGAGAGCCATGCGGTTTCAGCAGAGTGAGGACCCCCTGTTGGTGAGGTGAAAGAGGGAGCCACGCGGTTTTGGCAGGGTGTGGACCCCCTCTTTCCCAGGTGAAAGGGAAGAACCACGCAACTTTGCCAGAATGGAGATCCCTACAGCCAGGTGAAGAAGACAGCCACATGCTTTTGGTGGAGTGCGGACTCCTGCAGCTTTGGTAGAAGAGGCCCACGCGGCTTTGGGGTGCCCCCTTTGGCTGCGGGGCCTGAAAAAGCAAGAGAGACTTTGACTGGAACTGGGTACAAAGGACTCTTGCCAGTGGACCATGAGAGGGTACCACAGTGCTTTGGATTAACTCGAGATCCTGCACAGTGACACAGCTGACGGTGCCAGCGGTCTGCAACACAGACGTGTGCTCTTTTCCTGATTTACGGTACCCGGAGTTGGGACAGTGGGAGAAGGGAGTGCTGTGTGGGTGTAGGTGTATAACCTAAAGGACTTTGATATTTTAGTGGTGGCATTAGGCCTGAATAGCATTAAATAAACATTTTGTTTCCTTTTCACAAATCTCTGGCATTGAGAGATGTGTTTCCAATTGGCGGCGGACAGAAGGGCCCAGTAGATTTTAGTATTTTGTTTTCGGGAGGGGCCCCTGTTGTACAGCAGTTTTGGGCATCCCTAGGTGGGCCAAATATTGTATTGCCCCTCCCTCGGACCTCCTCTTGTTCGGTAACAGTGGTGCGGGCTTGTAGTCCCACTTACTGGGTGGGCTGAATCAAGAGGTAAAGATATTTGCCAATAGACAAAAAGCTGTTTCTAAAAGTTATAAATGTCATTTGCACTCTCCGGGAGCACTGGTGGCAGTAAGGGAAGCTGTATTCAGGTTTGGGGAAGAAGCAAACCCCTAGGCTCTGTAAGCCGAGCCTGCATGTATGTTGGGGATCTGACAGCAAGCCAGGTGGGCGCTAGCCGCACTTTTCCTCCCCTGGTGAATCCCCTTCTCCCTGCAGGTGGAGGGTGGCTCCGGAGTCCTGCCACTGGCAGCACCTGCAGGCTGAACTGGAATTGCGGTGTGGACATTTGGGGTAAAATAGAGGGTGAGCCACCTGTGTGCCCCAGGAAGCAGGACCGGTCATTCAGGGGCGTGGAAGTCTTGGATGACCCAGTGTGCTTGGGCGTCACCATCTTGGCCAGCCCTGCGTTCTAGGGGGTTGCCATCCTGGAGGAGCAGGCTTGCATGGGCGTCACCATCTTAGATGACCTGGCGTGGGCGGGGGGGGCGTTGCCATCTGAGACCAGCCTGCGTGCTTGGGTGCCGCCATCTTAGAACTGGGTAAGGGGGTGGGTTGAGGGTTCTCTTCAGATTATGGGCTCTGTGCTGCTGCTGTGTGGGCACAGACAGCATCAGTCAGGTTCTCTGTGTAACTGGTTCTGATAGAAATGGCTCCGGTTCTCAAAGTCACCCACTGGGGTCCAAGGGTGAGCATCTGATTTATAGGGTGTCTGCAAGGTCTAAGCTTCAGAAAGCTGTGATGTCCCTGTGAACCTGGGGACTTGGAATAAAAGTTACCTGTAGTGCTAGGGGCTTTCTGCTGCCACATACTGAGTTTAAGTAAAGTATAGTTCTTCCCGTGTGGGAAAGGAACCAGGATGTGTTAAAAGTGAAGGATGGTTAAATCTGGGTGGGTAAAATTATATATCAAACAGGTGAAAGTTTTAAACCTGGAGTAAAGAAAACCTCAGCTACTTTTTTCTGGTTTTGTGAGAAAAGAGCCAATTTCTCAGGTTGGATTTGTTTCTGATCAGAAACTCTCTAACCAGTTGGGGAGAATGCCCTTGCCACTCTGGACCCAAGAAGGGTCATTTGGGGCTGATGAGTGTTTCAGGCCGAGGCAAAGCAGCATGTCTCTGCCAGGAGACAGGGCCCGAAGGAGCATATCTCTGCAGGGCTCCAATTGGTGACTTTGTGCAAGAGAATACCTCTAACTTTCTATTATTCTGGAACTCCGTGTATTAGATTTTTCTCTCTTGTCTGTTTTGAAAAGGAAGCTGAGGATTCCCGGGAAGGTGAATTTTCATTCTTCTTTGGAAAGTGAACAAGGAAAAGAATTTTCCTTCATGCTTTGTCTTCTTCTTCCTACCTGACCCCTCCAGAATTTGGCATTCTGAAGGAGTAAGTGATGACATAAGATTTCTTTGCATATATTCAATAAGACCAGTCATTAATAATGGTTTTCTCAACTGAGATTTTGACTGGAATGTCACTCCCAAAGGAAGCATGTATGGATTCTGGTCATTACCAGAACTGGGACTGACTTGCAAAACTAGTGAAAGCCCACAAGAGAAGCCTGGTACTTTAGTTGGTTGTGCAGTTCTTGGCAGTCTTTGCAGGAAAGGAGCAAAGGTTGATTTCCTGAAAGATGGGTAAAAAAGGGACCTGTAGGCATCATGGAAGTCTCAAGGATTTGAGTGAAACAACTGCTACAGTAGCAGCCAGATGGCAGATGAGTGGCCCTGCTTCTGTGGCCCAAGTGGTGGACTGAGACGTCAATGTGAAGGTTCCCTTTGTGAGTTCCAGCAAAGCAGATCTAAAGATCATAGGTGTCTAGGGTGCTCTTGATATATAAATATTTCATCTGGCTTTTTTTCTGTCCACAGCCTTATTTCTGAGTGAATTGTTTAAGATAAAGTCTTGGATAGCAACCTTCCTATATACAAGCATTGTTTCCATAACTACCTAAGTTCTGACTTTTATGGTATAACACAAAACACATGCCAGACCTGTTTTTCTGAAAGTGAGCACTGTTCATTCCTTTGGCTCAGGGTGACTCTGCCAACATCTAATTTGTGTCATGGGAGTATCTTCTTATTTTTATGAGGCACAGTTTGCATGTTTAAAAAATGGATGTTAGAAAATAAACCTCGTTTAATTTTAGATGGCTTAAATAGATAAGTCATGGCAGGTTTTCCCCTTATGCATTTTCTGCAGAATATGCTGCTGGCCTAACTGTGGTTGTTGTATTTCATAAATTACTTGTCTTTATGCTTATTTACCTGTGGCCATTATGAGTTTTAAGAAGTACATGAAATGCAACTTTAAATAAGCTTGTAATGCCATATTTTAGGGGTCCTCGTTGGTGTTTTGCAGTGGCCAGGTAAGGCATTCATACAAACAGCCAAATTTCCAAGGCCCACTCAGATTTTTCATATGATTTTGAATACACTTCATTCTGAAAGCTATATATTATACACCTGTGAATGCAAGCACATTCTGAGACAACTTGGAACACTGTTGAAGGGGGCAGAATAAAATCTGTTTACCTCAGTTTCAGTAGGAGAGTCAGGCAATTGTAGGAGTCATTATTTGAAATCTCTTGCCATACGTCACTTGTGGTATTTTCATAGTGTTTTTTTTTTTGCATCCGGTGACATTTTTTGAATGGTTACTAGTGGGATGGATCAGGATGGAACACAGGACCACATAAAAAGGGAGTGGCTTTTGTATCCAGAAGAAAAACCTCATATTTCTACAGAACATAGGTTTAATTGGAGAGCATTAGTTTGTGAGTGAGTAAGGCATGGCAGAATCCTAAATTTGCTCCAAGTTAATCCTAATTTGTGTCTTCTTCTATTTGTTCTCATTTCAGGTGCTGGCTCCACTGTGGTGTCCATCACCAGTATCTTCACCATCAGTGGTTTGTGCCATAAAAGGACATGTGAATAGACCCTGTAAAGTCAAGTTCCACATATTTACTTGTATAAAACCTTGATTAGAACCACTGGTGAGGTAGCTCATTTCTTTTCCAGGTTTACCCAAAACCTCCTTGAGTTTATTTGTACACTCATAGAGAATATGTAGAGCTGAAAATGTTCATAGTTTCAAGCCTAAAATTTTGAAAGTGCCCAAAATAGGTGGTCATTTTAATGTCTAAAACTTACATTTTATGGTTTTTAACCTGAAATACTGACATTAAAATGGATTTGACTCAAAATGTGTTTGGAATAATAAACGTGGAATGGCATTTTTAAAAAGTAGTAACTTTCATTTATGATACTATGTATGAATAAATTAACTGTGAATAATGTTCTTAAATGCCACTTTAAAACTTGTGACATCATAAATAATTAATAAAGGATTTTCTTGTCCTAGCTGGTGTGGCTCAGCATAGTGAGCTTTACCCTGTGAACCTGAAGTTCGCTGGCACATACCTGGGATGCATGCTGTGTCCCATTTTGGGAGCACTTGAGAGGCAACAGATGAATGATTCACTCACACATTAATGTTGCTATCCCTTTTTTTTCTCTCTCAATTCCCTTCTTTCTAGAAGTAAATAAACACAATTTTTTTTAAAGAAAAGGCTTTGGTTAATAATTTACTATGCAAATCACTGTGTAAGTTTGGTTGCATCAAGAGGAAACACCTCTAAACACAAGGCATTTGACCATTAATATGAGTTTTTAATTTGTATTTCTCTAATGATTATTGATATTGAGAATATTTTCATATGTCTATTGACCTTTTATGCCTCTTTGCAGAAGTGTCTATTCATGCTCTTTTCCAATTTTTAAAATTTGATAGTTTCTGTTTTGGTGTTAATTTTCTACATTCTTTATAAATTTTGGATGTCCACCTCCTATCAGATGTAATGGCAAATTCCATTTTTCTAATTTCCACCATGTTAATGTGATCATGGGCCAATCTGCACATTTCACCTTATGGACATGCAGCCTCTCAGGGAATAGAGCATAAAGTGTTAGGGATGACAAAACTTGGTGATATTCCTACCTCTCCCACAGGCATCACATTTTCTGAGAGACTAAATGATTTCTCTTCAATACCTCTGATGATCTTTTACATATCCACCTGTTCCCATTTTTCTAGTGGATTCTTTGCCAGACAGGATGAGAATAATGTCAAATTGCCATCTGGCTATTAACTGGGTCTACACCCACATGCCATGCAAGGAAGCGACCCCAGGAGACAGACAAAATGTATTAGGTTGGGGATGAAAGCACAGTGGAAGGGAAGATTTATGGAAGGATTCCCCCAAGATGAGGCCCTAATACCTTCTTTTTAAAAATTTTTTTATTGATTATGCTGTTACAGTTGTTCTATTCCCCCCTTCATTCCCCTCCACCCTACCCCCCATCTCCACCATTACCCTCCCTTTAGTTTATGACCATGTGTCTCAAGTCCTTTAGATTCTATATTTCCCATACTATTCTTGCCCCCCATCTATTTTCTATCTACTGTCTATGCTATTTATTTTCTGTACCTTCTCCCCCCTTCTCCTCCTCCCACTCCCCTGTTGCTAACCCTCCTTGAGATCTTCATTTCTATGTTTCCACTCCTGATCTAGCTGTCCTTTTAGTTTGCTTTCATTTTAGGTGTGGTTGTTAATAACTGTGAGTTTGCTGTCCTTTCACTGTTCATGTTTCTTTAACTTCTTTTTCTTAGATAAGTCCCTTTAACATTTCATATAATAAGGGCTTGGTGAGGATGAACTCCTTGAATTTGATCTTATCTGAGAAGCACCTTATCTGTCCTTCCATTCTAAATGAAAGTTTTGCTGGATAGAGCAATCTTGGTTGTAGGTCTTTGGTTTTCATGACTTGGAATACGTCTTTCCAGCCCCTTCTTGCCTGTAAGGTCTCTTTTGAGAAATCTGCTGACAGTCTGATGGGGACTCCTTTGTAGGTGACTGTCCCCTTAGCTCTTGCTGCTTCTAGGATTCTCTCCTTCATTTTAATTTTGGCTAATGTAATTATGATGTGCCTTGGTGTGTTCCTTCTTGGGTCCAACTTCTTTGGGACTCTCTGAGCTTCCTGGATTTCCTGGAAGTCTATTTCCTTTGCCAGCTTGGGGAAATTCTCCTTTATTATTTGTTCAAATAAGTTTTCCACTGGTGGTTGTGCCTTTCCCCCTTCTGGTACCCCTATAATTCGGATGTTGGAGCATTTAAAGATGTCCTGGAGGTTCCTAAGCCTCTCCTCATTTCTTTGAATTCTTGCTTCCTGACTCTTTTCTGTTTGGCCATTATTTGCTTTCTTCTGGTCCACTCCATTGATTTGAGTCCCAGTTTCCTTTTCATTGCTATTGGTGTCCTGTGTAATTCCATTCATTTCAATTAGTTTCGCCTTCATATATTTGTCTAATTTGTCAGTATAATCAACCAGTTCTGTGAGGATCCTGATGACCAGTGTTTTAAACTTTGCGTCTGAGAGTTTTGCTATTTCTTCATTGCTTAGATCTATGGGCTGTGGGGCTTTGAGATCTTGTGACATTTTTGGTCTGTTCTGGCCCTTTAAGTGTGAGAAGTGGTGCCTTAGACTCCCAGGTCGCTGGGTTGTGACACCATATGTGGGGGCGTGATCAGAGCGGGGAAATGGCGGCGCCCTCTACTGCCGCTTGCCGCGGGGACTCCGGGCCCTGGTCCAACCTCCCACTCCCTCGCCTGTCCGCTCTCGCACAAATGGGCGACCACAGTCAACATGCAGCACCACTTCCCCGCTGTCTCCTCCGCGGTCGCTCACTAGGTCCAACCCTGTGCCTGGATTCCGCGCGTCTGGATTCTGCGCCTGAGTCCGTCTGACCGAGTCCTCCTGTGCAACTCCTCACCAGCCGCTAGTTTCGCCCCTTACCGGTCAGGCTGAAGAATTTGTTGTTAATGGACTTCCAAAAAGTTCAATTTTCCGTGTTCTGGCTGTGTTTTCTGTTGCTAATATTTAGTTGTCTCTAAACTTGGTTGTGTGAGAAGGCACCGCACATCCACCTATGCCTCCATCTTGGCGGAAGTCCCCCCCTAATACCTTCTCACTGCTTTACACATGAGGTCACTGTGACAAAGGACTCACACACTCTCTCCACTGTGTATCTGTTTCTTTAAAAAAATAGTTTGGAGACAAAATGTACTAATTGTTATTTAAATATTTGGCAGAGTTCACCTAATAAGCCATCTGGTCCTGGGCTTTTGTTTTTTGGGACTTTTGATTATGGCTTCACTTTCACTGCTGGGAGTTGCTTTGTAGACTTTCTCTGTTTCTTTCTAGCTGAGCCTTTGGGAGCTCTATGTTATTGACAAAACTCCCTTTTATCTGGATCACCAAATGTGTTAGTATGTAATTGTTCATACTGTTTTCTTTTTCATGAATTTTAAAACCTGTGGCATCCTTTGAGATTTTCCTTCTCATTTTCTTATATTTGCCTTTTATTGATTATGCCATTACAACTGTCCCTTTTTTCTCCCCTATTACTTTTCCTCCCCTATTTTCCTCCCTCTATTATTCCTCCCCTCCTGTACTCCACCTTCCACCAGCATTCCCCCACCTTAGGTCATGTCCATGGGTTCTACATATAAGTTCTTTGGTTTCTTCATTTCCTATACTATTCTTAAGCTCTCTCTGTCTATTTTGTACCTACCATTTATGCTTCTTATTCCCTATATCTTTACTTCCATGCTGCTCCCCACTTCCTGCTACTGATACCCTTCCATATGATCTTCATTTCTGTGAATGCATTCTTGTTCTAGCTGTTCCCTTAGTTTGTTGTTTTAGTTTTGTTTTGAGGTTCAGTTTTTGAGAGTTGTGAATTTATCATTTTACTGTCAGATTTTTATCATCTTTTTCTTAAATTAGTCACTTTAATATTTGATATAATGAGGGTTTGGTGTTGATGAACTGCTTTAACTTGATCTTATCTGGGAAGCGCTTTCTCTGCCCTGCCATTCTAAATGATAGCTTTGTTGGGTAGAGTAATCTAGCTTGTAGGTCCTTGACTTTCATGATTTTGAATGCTTCTTTCCAGTCTCTTCTTGACTCTATGAATTTTTAGAGAAATCAGCTAATCGTTTTATGGAAACTCCCTCAGAGGTAACTGCCTCCTTTTCTCTTGTTGTCTCTCCTTATCCTTGATCTTGGTTAATGTAATTATGATGTGTTTTGGTGTGTGCTTTCTTGGGTCCAAATTCCTTGGGAGTCTCTAACTTTCATGGTCTTCCTGGAGATCTGTTTCCTGTTCTAGATTATGGAAGTTCTTTTTCATCTCTGTTTTCAGATAAGTGTTCAATTTCTTGCTCTTCCTCTTTCTCTGGCACCCTTATGATTCAGATGTTGAAATGTTGAAAATTCTCCCAGATGTGCCCAAGGCTCTTCTCATGTTCTTGAATTCTTGTTTCTTTACTGTGTTGTGGTTGAAGGTTTATGTCTCCCATTTGTTCCAAATTATTGATTTTTGTCCAGGTTTCCTTCCTGCCACTGTTGGTTCCCTGTACATTTTCATTTATTTTGCTTTGCATAACCTTCATTTCTTCCTCCATTTTATGACCATACTCAACCACTTGTGTGAACATTCTGATTACCAGTGTTTTGAACTGTGCATCTGATAGGTTAGCTATCTTTTCATCACTTACGTGTACTTTTTCTGGAGCTCTGATCTCTTCTTTCATTCAGGTAGTAATTTGTTTTTTTTCTCAGAGCACCAGTTATGTAGTGAGGTGTGGAGCCTCTGTTCTTTCCCAGGGCAGGGACAATCCACATCTCTTTGTGGTGGGGCTGTATGTTGGGGAGGGGTTTGAGAGGAACCAAAGCTTCTTGCCCAACTCTCGGCTGCTTTCAGCCACTTCTAATACCCACCAGCAAATTAAACCCTTCCATTGCTGATTCCTGTTTGGGTGGTTTTGTTCTAGAACCCCGTGGGTCACTCCAATGGACCTTCCTGTGTGTCTGGGAATTTCTGCCAACACCTCTACCCCCACAGGTATTTGCAATGAATGGTTTTGAGGCTTTATTTTCTCACATTAGAACCATGGTTTGCGTGGTCTGTCTCTCTCCTGAGAAGTTCCTCCTGGGTTATCCACACAAAAATGTGGGATCACAGCCCTGGCTGGTGTAGCTCAGTGGATTGAGTGTGGGCCTGCGAACCAGGCAATCACGGTTCGATTCCCAGTCAGGGCACATGCCTGGGTTGCAGGCCGGTTCCCTGCAGGCCAGTTCCCAGCAGGGGACGCACAAAAGGCAACTATACATTGATGTTTCTCTCCCTCTCTCCTTCCCCTCCCCTCTAAAGATAAATAAATAAAATTTAAAAAAAAATGTGGGATCACTAGTTCTACTACCCGCTGCTTCACCTGGTCCACCTGCCACTGCCTCTCCTGCCCATCAATGCAGCTAACGCCTCGCAAGCCAAAACTTTCCAATGTGTCAGCCCCTCTCCGCCCCTTCTCCTTGTGTGGGAGGAGCCAGAGAGGAAAAATGGAGGTGACCTTCTCGGTTCTAGCCCACTCTCCTAAGAACTTTCCTGTGAGATTCAGAGTTTCTTCCATCAAGGCAACCC